ATTCCCGCTTCGTAGCCGGATGCCTTATTGATTGGGCCAATACGACGCCACAACATCACCAGGACCTTCTTCACCTATTCTATGCGCAATGAGCCCTGTGTCAAAGACACGAAATGCACCCACCATCGCTGGTTTCGAGAAACCCCGCGGACAGAGCCCTTCTTTGTCTCCTGCACGCCGTGCAACTTTGGACAGCACGTCCGTGGCTTCACGGGAAGCGCAGCCAAAGGTCTCGGTAACCGAGTGCCAGTGACAGGGTTGAACGACCAAGAACACAGTCGCGACGTCTACCCTCGACAGCGCGCCGCGCCCGCCACGGGTGATGGATTACATCGTCGAGGATTTGGAGAGAGTTGACTACGAGTCGGATACTCCTTTCGCAGGATGGAAGGCGAGGTGCCCCAGCAGCGCGACGTTGGCCCTGCTCAAACCTTGCGGACGCCGTATCCGCAAGCTCGAGTTTCGGAGGAATTGGTGTTATTGTCAATGAACTGGACGAGTCACAGAAACAGCAGCTGGATGCTGTCCGCGGGGTGACACCCATGGGCGCGATATTCCACGTTCGCTCCCTGACCCTCGTGTGGAGTACGGCTTCCGCTGGGGCTCCCGCTTCAAAAGCGAACTCAATCGTTGGGCGTCCACGTGATCGGGCTTCCGGTCCCTACACAAGCTGAGCTTGACGAAAAAGAGCTCTCCGAGCTCGCTTTTTGGTTTCTCAAGAATCCCGGTTGAAACGTAACGCACTCGATTTCGTGCTCAAGGAGGCGCTCCTGTGCCCACGATGCGAATGATTTCTGTGGTGCTCGCCCCTGGCAAAACCGCTGCAGATAACGATGAGCTCTTTGAGCGATGGGTGTAGCAGCACCAGAAACTTTCCTCGCTGTTCAATTTACAGTTGAGTCACAAGGAGGTAAACTCACGCGTAGAATGCCATCTTTGGTTTATGTTTGCCAAACTTAAGGCGCGTCGCCGAATTACTGCTTCCTGAGATGTAAAACTGTGGGATTAGATATTGCTTGCAAAATGATTTTTGCATTTTCTGTCTCGGTGCGAACGATAGGTCCGAACGCATAGGTATGTAGGGGCTCTGCTACAGCGCAGCGATCAACTCCCAATGGTAGTCACGATGTGATTAAACTAACAAGAATCACCTTGACTCTTGCGCTTTCACATCGCTCTTTGAGCCGGGTTTAACTCGTTGGTGACAAGCCAGGCAAAGTGCCGTTGTGATGTGTAAAAAAGCTTTGTACTAGGCTATTTTCTGCACTATTGTGTATAGACGCTTATCACTTCTGCACAGTTGTGCAAAATACAATGTTCTATTATTCTAGTATAAGCATAAGTACCAGAATATTGGAACATATGAAATGGTGGGACTCCTTTCAGCTCAAGCTCGCACCAAGACGTCACGGATGATATTAATGGCCGATCCAGCCTCTAATAAGTTAATCCGTTTTTTTCGCAGTCTTCATGGCCATCACTTCAACCACACCCTGTACCATCTATTAATTTTCAAAACTGTATAGGCAATGACCTTTCAGTATGATTTGCACAGTAAAAATGAAACGAATTGGTCAGAGCAACCTTTTTTCAAATTCTTTGGTTTTAGCATCCTTGGCTAATATAAAATGGCTTTGGTCGCTGCGAGATTCGCCTGCAGACCATGCTTTCCAATAGTGAATCCCAGATTAAGGTATACATCGACGCCAAAGACATAAGTGTCGATGGTGACAAAAAGCTTGTCTACGCGCCTGGGTGTTCACATTCAATCCACCGTGCTCTATACGACGGTGAACAAATGTATCGTCGGAATAAATTTCACGATGCGGCCTAACGGCTACATCATCACACGTGGGAATGTCGATGGAGCATCAGAAAGTCCCTGGGAATAGCATATTATTCTCATAGCTTCTCAATTAAAATATTATTGTTGTGGGAGGATGTTATTGTTGTTCACGAGCGAATGATAATTACAAATTTTCTAGTTCTCGAGCTCGGAGATAAGTACGGCCGACCCAAGCTGTAGAGCAACACATTATTCCTCGAATACGACAACTTGCGCTAGGTTCTCATCTGTTTTCAGCTAAGCAAAAAATCATCATTTGCCAATAGACGTTTTGACCGGTAAGGCTGGGAGATTTGCGCTTTACCACTAAACTTGCTTCGTGCTTTGCATCGACCAAAGTGTTAGTGACATTTTACTACCATGGACTTGTGCCGCAACATTTGGTTCAAAAAATGATGTCAGTTGGATAAGGTACTATCGATCTAGGGAAGGCGTGGTGGGCCTTTTGTCGACACGTTGTCTGTCGCCTTTTACAAAGCGTAAGACGATCCGTAAAATCTTCCACGACAGCCATTCTAAAAGCTCACAGTTATCTATACGCACATTCAGTAACGAATGATAAACGTCGCTTAACTACGGCATTCAGCGGCTTGTAACGTTTTGTATATACCCAGCGGGTGACAATTCTAGCTCAATCCAGGATTAACTGTTGGTCAAGTATTGCCATCAAGATTCGGAGGACGACATGATTACCAAAGAAGAGTCCGAGAGGCTCAAAACCAAAATGAATACAGAAGATGAAATAGAGGACAGGATCTACATCGAGCTCAAGAGAGAACGCGCAGGGTGCATCGAGAGAAAGGCCTGAACTGACCAGGCGTCAAGCTGCATGGGTAGCGGACGGCCAAGTTAAATTGACCCCGGAAGCCAGGCCAGCAAACATTACGTATGAAGTGACCAGCAAACTAAAGACAAATGATTGAAGGTAATCATTGAAGGAAATACCGCTTGAGAGGGGATTCAAGTGTGGATAGCTACGATACCACCCATAGGCAGTCATGCACTTCTATCCAAAAATTTAGAGACCAAGGCCGATGCGGATGATTTTACTGAGCAAATAGAGGCTAGGTGAGTGGCCTGCCGAATAAATCGGGATTTGAGGTAAGTATCATATTTGCTGCTAAAAGATGCTATGCACAGTCAAGGAAACAATCGTTGTTCGGCAATCAATGGTATAATAGGGTGTGAAAGTAAGGGGTAGAGACATGCTAGGCGCGTGGGTGAAAGCAGATAAAAGAATTTACAAGGAGAAACTTTACAGCTTAAATGCTAACCGTGAAAGATGAGTTGCAGAAATTGATGCGGTGAACACAGACAAGCTGAAGACGTTACTGTTCGCATTCCTACTGAAACAGGGTTACACGTTTTCGTGGTTGTACAAGAAGGTGTGACCGGACATAAGTGTGGATTACACAAGTTGGTGTAACCACACAATGGTGTGGCTACACCATAACAGGAACCCACTAAGTGGCAGGACTGCCAGTAGTTATACATATTAATAAGGTTCTACTATCTAATCAGGACAATCTACAGATTTAGATATAGGCGGCTCTGCCGCGAATAAAACAATTAAATGCAGTTGCAATTTTTGAATAGAAGAAATAATTTGCCTTGGTTAAGGTTGTGGGTACTTTTGGAGGTAGCGGATTGCGATCCGCTTCACTCATACCGGTTCTTGTGAAGAACGTCAGGTCGTTGACCTTAGCTTAGCTTACTCTAAACAAAAAGCTACGGCAGCCCCGTTGCACTTGGTAGCACTCGTTGTCAATCTACGCCTGAGTCGTTACGACTGATCCTCTGTGAGGATGGGGCAATACTCCTATTTGCCCCAGGGCATGCAGGAAGGGCTTAAAAAGCTGATGTCTGTGCTTGGCCTTGAGGATGTAAAACATCTTGTTTCGTAAGGCCCCAAAGCGATAAACGCGCGCCTAGACGCGTTTTCGATCTAAGAAAATGATCTGCTAGCAGAAGCTGTCGGCATCGACGACGGGTGCCCCCCCCTCGACCCAGGCCGCTCATGGTGAGCGTTAAGCCCTTCAAGGGCAAGGATGGAGCGAGTTTCCTACCTTGGGTAAGATAGGTCGAGAGATGGCTATAACATCCGCCATGATCCACAACGAGCAACAACGCGTGGCACTAGCTTCCTCCAAGCTCGGAGGCAGAGCGCGAGAATAAGCACTAATGTGCGGTGCTTCAGTTTAAGCGGCGTTTTCCTCCTGAAAGGAGCTAAAGCTTCAGCTTCTACGATTGTTCTCGGCGCCTAATCAGGCATATCGCGAGCGATCGCGTTTCCTTGCCACCCGACAGGGCAAGAAGGAATTGGTGGCCTTGTCCAAGAGTTGAGAATTCTCATTGCCGGGATGGCAGCAGATCCTACCCTGAGGCGGTCGCTGTGAGCATCTATACGAAGGGCCTTTGCACTGGCGTGGCCAGAATGGAAGTCTTCCGTGTGCATCCATCTTCTTTTGAATAAGCGGTGTATGGTCATTTAATGCCGAATTCGACTTCAAGTCTGTACGACTTGGTTGGAATGCATAACCTCAGAGCTCGACGAGCGGGCTTAAGCCAATGATTCTCAACCTTGCTGAAAAGGAGGAGGGAAAGCTCTGAGCTGCTGAGCGGCGTGTAAACACTCGACGTTGTTTTGTTGTGGAGACACCCCTCACCTTCGGACGGGAGTGTCCCTTGCGCAAGGCGCGTAAAGATTCGTCGAACGGACCTTCCGCTTCTAGCTAGTTTGACGCCGAGAAATGACAGAAAAGAGAAGGTGCGGGGCGCCCTATTGGGAGAAAAAGAGTTCTGTTGAGTCTCAAAGAGGTAGAGGACAGCAGGGCCCACTTCCGAAGAACTGCGTGCTCTTAAACACGGAATGTGTATTCAGGCCGGGCTTCTGGTCGTAAAAGCGATTGTGAAGGGTTTTAAAATGCCAAGGAAGATCCTTATCGATTCTGGGGCGTCAAGCAGTTATGCTTGACGCTCTACCATCGAACGAAGTCAGCTGCATGCTGAGGCACTGAAAGTGCGGTTGAGCGACACTGTCACTGCTTGCTTGGTGACGAGGACTTGTGTCACTGTGCCGATGGTCCCTGTGGCCCCGGTGTCAAGTTTCTTGACCTCGATAGCGTAGACCGCCGCTTAGTCTTAGACTTGTGTTTAAGGTATAATTTTATCCTTGGTATGGCATGGTTATAATCTCATGATCCATGGATTGATTTGAGGTCGAAGACCTTGGGCACTTCGCGCACGTCTCCTGGTGAAACTATGGTGAGTCATGAAACCACATCTGCTACAAAGCAAAAGCGCTATTGGCACGGGTACTGGACCGGATGAGTCAATCTGCTGGTTATCGGAGTATCAGAGTTGTCGAAAACCGAAGGTGTTTTGGACACGAGTCCCTAGCGTGACACGCAACCCACTGAGCGCTGCTCAAGTATTGAAGTATTCGCTGCATGGCAAGAGTGGTATGGTTGGCCAAGGGTTTAAAGCATCAAGGGCGAGGCCCTTGTGATGCACGTGGAGGGGCACGTAAATCACTGAGCGCTGCGCACGTTTCAAAGCAGTTGCTGCATGTCAAGAGTGGCATGGTCGGACGAGGTCCAAGGCATCCTGGGCAAGGCCCTTCTGATGCGCGTGGAGTGGCTCGTTATCCACTGGACGAAGACTGCGGGCTAGAAGATTTTTGTCGGATGTTGTTGATAACATCGAGACTTCGATGGAGTAGGGAGTGGGGAGCTGGACAACGCCGAGTGCGTGTTCCCACTGGTCTCGATGAGACGTAAAGCCTCTATAGAGTGGAGACGGCGAAGCCGTAGGTTATCTGCAAGACGCAGTGCACACATGGTGTGTCTACCGTGGGCGATAGCGCACAGCTGTGTACCCTTGTCAACGATCGGACGGGAGAGGAAGACGGCGACGTCACCCTTAAAGCTAGCTGTTTCCGCGGTGGATGCCCTTCTTGAGCTGAGCGAGATGTCCTTTGAAGAATTCAGTGGTGCCTTGAAGGCAGGCAATTTAGCCGAGATGGCTATTAAAAGACTAAAGTAGGAGACTAACTCGTCGTCGTTTCTGGGTGAAGCTGTCCTGGAGGACACGAATAGGGTGCTAATCGCACGAAGTGGATCATCGACCCCGAAGGATCCCTCGGATCCAAACTATCCTTCAATAAAAAAAATCCACGACGTCGTCTCCAAAGACCCGCCGTTGGTCCTGCCTCCGGACCAAGGTGTGTGTCATGAGGTTGACCTGGCTCCAGGAACCAAATACTGCATAACACGTCAATGGCCCCTGCTCAAAGAGCAGTGTGACGTCATTGACGCCTTTTTCGGTGCAAGAGTACGAGGCAGATATGGTGCGTGAGAGCAAATCTCGACATTCGACACCCACGTTTTGTGTCCGTAAGCCGAACGTCAAGTGGCGTATCGCTCACGCTTATAATAAGCTGAACACTGCCACCATTCCGACACAGACACCGATTCCTGGAAAGGATGTTCTCCAGAGAAATATGGTTGGCTTTACAAAGTACAGCGCGCTCAACTTGGTCATGGGTATTACCGATTGCTCATGAGAGCGAGTGATATTCTGCTTATAGCGGTGGGTACTCCGATGTTCTGAAAGGGGCTAGTGATGACCCAAGGGCTGTCAAATGCACCAGCAGTATTTAATCGTCTTATGATGCAGTTATTCAGGTCCACCGGGCGTATGCACAAATATACTTCGACGACATCTTCGTCCACAATTGTGCGGGGCACGGAGGATAGATGAGGAAATCCACATCGTCCATTTGAGAGCGGTGGTCGAGTGCATGCGCACGAATAAGCAGTATGCTCATGCCGATAAGAGCATCTTCAGCGCGGAAAAAAATCCTTTCCAGGGTGCTACATTGGTAAGCGTGGCCAACGCGCAGATATCGCTAAGGTCAAGCTCACTATGGATTGGCTGATTCCAAAGAATCAAAAGAAATTGCGCAAGTGGTTGGCCTCGCCGACTACTTGCACAATTATATCTCAAATTACGCGGAAATGGCACGGCCGTTGTCGAGACTCCTTAAGAAGGATACGGAATGGTGTTGGGACACCAAGCATCGGGGGGCTTCTGACATGGTCAAAGACTGCCTCCTTCATGCACCAATACTGGCGTTGTCAGACTCTGATCGTCATTTGAGTGTCGCCTGTGATGCCGAGGGGCGAGATCGGGTGATCGCGTTTGAATCTCGCCTGCATAAGGCTGTGGAGAGGTCTTTCAGTCCACAACAAGGACTACTTGCGATGTAGTATGCAGTGATCAAGTTCATAGTACACCTGCTTGGCTCAAAGCCGTTTGCGATCTATACAGATCATGCGTTATTACGCACTGCGATTCAGTCGCCTCGCCGATTTCCAAATTGCTCTCAATATTTGCAGAATATAACTTTGCGGTGATGTAAAAGCCAAGAAAGCAGAATGTTTTGGCTGATACGTTGTCATGCGGACCGGATTATGAGCTTGTTCATGTCACGATGATGACGTCGTCAGTGACGGATTTGATCCGCGCCGCATACGCTAATCCTATGGTATGTGGGTAGCACTGCTACAGGCTCTCGGAATCAAGGAGTTTGGAAATTCGATCAAGAAATTGTCGGCGCGAATTCGCGCACGATTACACCGATATACGTTGAATAAAGAATTGCTAAATTGTAGCACCGATTTGACGGATACGCCACAAATTGTGGTTCTCTTGATGAAATTGTAAATGCCGTATCTTATATGAGGCCCACGACTAGTCATCTCGGTCGTGAGAAGACTTATAGCTCGGTGAGTTGCCGCTACTGGTTGCTCAAGCTATACAAACGGACGATGAGACGTGCCAATGGGTGAAAATCTCATCGAATGCAGCGGCGCCGCTGGCCAGTTTACCGGTACCCTCCGGGTGTTGGCAGTCCATGAGTATGGACTTCGTGTTTGGCCTGCCGTAGGACTCGGTGGGGGTGAGTTTGCAACCACAGCAGCTCACGGTCATATTTTGAGGTCAGGGTATGGCCCATCGCCATCCCTGGCTTGCCGAAGTGCAAACTTTCAAGAGTTCTCGAAGCCGGGGAATCCATGGCGCTTCACAAGATACTGGGTTTGACTCTGGCGACGACGTCGACCCACACGATGTTCCACGTGTAGTAGACACCGCCATTTTCGTCGAGAATAGTTGGCGACGGACGATGACAAAGTGGTCAGTCGCCGTCCGGTGACTTGCGATGCTCTTTGAGCTCTTACGGACATTGTCCGTCGCGATCGGGACTCCACTGAGCATCATGCTGAGATTGCATACCACTGTGCGGAAGGCCACAAGAGCTGAAAGCATTTTGTGCACCGACTGCTTTACGTTGAAGACAATCGCGCGCTGTCGGAGCGGCTTCTTGCCGTCGAGCGGACGAATGCGTCACTTTGTGCGATGGTGAAGTACTTGGCGCCGTTTGAGATGGAGATCGTCGCAACTTGTGCTCAAAACCGTTGCGGGTCAGCTTCTGGGTGGTCGAGCGCCTGTGGGCGCCGCCCCGGCGTCAAAGCTTCCCATTTTCCTTGCGCCGGACCCCGGGGCGGCTTAAGCAAGCCCACATAGAACACCAGGTGAGTGCGCATCCTTCTCGAAAGATTTAATGTATACGCTAGGCACCGCTTGGCCAAAATCTTATGAGGTCCAAAAAACAGTAGAATGGTCTGCGTTGTAAAGACAACATATGTAGGAAGATTTATTGCTTTATAAAACCAGGTCTTCGACCTCAAAGCTTTCAACATTTCTTCTGCTTCTTCCGGCTGCATATTTTTTGGGTTTCAGCCATCGAATTGCGAACGCGTCGTAAGACTCTTAGTCTTATGGATAGGAAGTCATCGACTTCTTTACGAACGGCGAGGGGGCTGACATCAGTTAGTCGGTCGGCAATTCCTCTTCCACCAAGCCCTGAGCTATGAGATGGCGGCGTCAGCGGATGCGAGAATTTAGAAGCCCGTTTGCGTTGAACGGCGTATTTTATTTAACCGGCAGACGCATGCAATGCATTGTTCAGAGCAAACTTTACAAGTGGAATCTTGGTGCTTCAGTGCCTCAGCGTCTCAGTGCAGACGCTGCGAAGGATGTCTCCAACGACGCGATTCACGCGCGCAGTTTGACCAGCGGCTCGTTGATGGTCCGCTGTTGACATAGTCAACTTGGTGTTCAGCACCTTGAAGATCGTCGACCAAAACTTTCCTGTGAAGCAGTGGTCTCTGTCAGAGACAGTTGAATCCGGGAGTCCATGTTGTCGATAGACACGATTCACAAACAGCGTCGCTATAACCACACCTTTAATGGTGTTCGGTACCGCCGCAAGATGAGTCATCTTGCTCAAACGGTCCACAAAGACAACCATACCCGTATTGCCCGCCGAGTCCTTCAGCAGGCCAAACGCAAAGTCTAAACTCATGGACTGCCAGCACCCGGAGGGTACCGGCAAACTGGACAGCGGCGCCGCCGCATTCGGATAGGATTTATCCCTTTGGCACGTCTGACACGTGCGCACATAGGTGTTCGTCCATTTGTACAGCTGGCACCACCAGTAGTGGCAACTCACAGAGCAGTACGTCCTCTCACGACCGAGATGACTATGTCTGGACCTCTTAGAGGATATGAAATGTCAGATCCTCATCGTGAGGAACCACAATTTGTGGAGTATCCGTCAAGTCGGTGCTATATCACAGCAATCCATTATTCAATAAATATGGGTGAATCCGTGCCTGCAGTCGCGACAACAACTTTCTGTCCATGCCTTTAAACTCCTTGCTTTCAAGAGCCTGTAGCAGCGCTACACACATGCCATCATCCGCGTACGCGGCGTGGATCAAATCCGTAACTAACGACGTCACTGTCGTGACACGAGTAGGCTCATAATCCATCTGCGTGACAACGCATCAGCCACAGCATTCTGCTTTGCTGGCTTATACTTCACCTAACCTTGGAGTTTTATTCTGCGAGGAAGAAGAGTCACCTGACATTCTTCTCCGAGAGATGCGGCGACCGAGTCGCAGTGCGTAGTGACGCGTGATCTTTGTGATCACAAACGGCTTGGAGCCGAGAATGTTCACCATGAACTTGACAAGTGCATACTACATCGCAAGGAAAACCTTGTCGTGGACTGGGTAATTCTTCTCCGCAGCCTTGAGCTGGCAAAATTCGAACGCGATCACTCGATCACGCGCCTCGGCCTAGCTTGCAGCAGTGCACAGCCGATGGAAAGTTCGAAGTGCCACAGACGACACTAAAAGAACGATCAGGGTCTGTCAACGCCAGTATTGGTGCATGAAGGAGGCTGTCTTGATCCTGTCAAAAGCCTCCCGATGCTCGGTGTCCCAGCACCATTCCACATCCTTCTTAAGGACATTCGATGATGGCCGTGCCATTTCCGCGTAATTCTCGCTGTACATCTGCAAGTAGTTGGCGAGGCCAAGCCACTTGCGCAAGTCCTTCTGGTGCTTTGCAACCGGTCAGTCCACAATGGCCTTGACCTTAGTTGGATCCGCTCGAAGGTCACGCTCCCCTATGAAGATCCCTAAAAAGGGGAATTCTTCGGCGCCAAAGATGCACTTGTCTGCATTAGCATACAGCTTGTTCGTGCGCATGCACTCGAGCACCGCTTTCAAATGGACGATGTGGTTCTCTTCATCCATCCTCCACCGCTTCGCATGACTGTGGACGAAGATGTCGTCGGAGTATGTTTTTGCATACGCCCGGTGGGGGCTGAACAAACTGCGTTACAAGACGATTAAAAGTTGCTGGTGCATTTGACAGCCCTTGGGGCATCACCAGCCACTCTCAGAGCATGCCGCTTGGAGTGCTTACCACTATCAGCAGAATGTCACTCGCTCTCATGAGCAATTGGTAATATCCGTCTACCAAATCGAGTGCACTGGACTTCGGACATCCCACTATATTGTTCTGAAGAACACTTTCTAGGAATTGGCGTTTGTGCCGGAATGGTGGCAGCGTTGAGCTCATTGTAAGCATGAACGATACGCCACTTGCCGTTCGGCTTTGGAACACACAACGTGGGTGTCGAATGGGGAGACTTGCTCTCACGCACCATTCCTTCGTCGTGCTTCGCGCGGAAAAAGGCGTCAATGACTCCTTGGGCAGGGGCCACTGGCGTGTTACGCAGTATTTGGTTCCCAGAACCAGGTCAATCGCATGACGCACACCTCGGTCCGGAGGAAGGACCGAAGGCGGGTCTTTGGAAATGACGTCATGAAATTTCTTAACCAAAGGATAGTACGGATCCAAGGGATTCCGTAGGATCGACGATCCACTCCGTGCGT